ATACAGGGTGGCCAAATGAAAACGAAACAGAGCCATTTTCAGGAACTGCGTCAAGATTGTAGAAAAACGCTCAGACCCGTCGATTTTAAATTAAAGGGGACATTCTTTGCCTGTATTTTTGACTCCGCCACTTTCGCCCCCAAGCAAAGGTAAACATCACCTCAAAATTTTTAAATGGCACTGGGGGTTGAGAAATATTTCTTTTGAAAGCTCTTACAATTCTGTTTACAACTTTACTTTTTTAACTTTACTACTTTAAATTTTATAATTCCGCCTAATATTTATTAAGAATTTTGATTTTAAAGTTGAAACTTGTTTACAAACAATTAGTAATGGTAAAAATGTCGAGTTAAGTACGCCAATGGTATAAATTTAGTATTTCTTGCGTTACATTGGTTTTTGGCGATTTGTTATCACTTTCGTAAAAAAACACAATNTAAACCATAGTGTTTAATTTTAAAAAACACAAATAAATAAACTACCAACCAACGTTTCCAAATAATACTAGAAAATAATTTGGAATCCATTAATTTTACGTTCATTGTGTGTGTATAACATTAATTTCTGTCTTTACAATTGTGTTTTTTTTTTACGAAAGTGATAACAAATCGCCAAAAACCAATGTAACGCAAGAAATACTAAATTTATACGATTGGCGTATTTAACTCGAGTGACTGACATTTTTACCGTTACTCATTGTTTGTACATAAGTTTCAACTTTAAAATCAAAATTCTTAATAAGTATTGAGCAGAATTATAAAATTTAAAGCCTGTTGTAAAAAGAATTGTAAGAGCTTTCAAAAGAAATATTACTCAATCCCCATTGCCATTTAAATATTTTGGGGTGACGCTTACCCTTGCTTGGGGGTGAAAATTTAATGTAAAATCGACGGGTCTGAGCGTTTTTCTACAATCTTGACGCAGTTCCTGAAAATGGCTCTGTTTCGTTTTCATTTGGCCACCCTGTATATTAAGCAGTGGTGTAAGCTTTTGTTTATTACCATATATTTAAACAGATATTCCTTAAAGGAAGATGTATTTTACAAATCAGTTTTAACTGATGTTTCGAGTAACTTAAATAACTGTTATAATGTCTCATTTAACATAAATATAATTGGTTTTGTAATTAAGTAATAAACAAACACTTACTTAATTTTATTAAATATTACTTATCTCCATTTGCTGTAAACGGATTTATGTATACAATTTTACTTATGTAAGAAGAAAATATGTTTTTCGTTGAATACCTCTTGTGGCTTATTCTTCTGTTTCTCTAATTGTCAATCTGGCACTCTATTCCTTTCACTAATTGGAGGACTCTCACCATTGACTGCTGTCATCTTTTGGTTTCAACCTTGGTTTTCTATGTCGACTGTGCCTAGTGCTTTGGTTGTTCCTATTGCCCTATAGCCGACTCAATATTTAAGGCTTTCATGATACGGCTCACTATTTTCCAGTTGTATTTTCAGATCACGTCGTCCTTATGATGATTCGCAATTTATTGTCTAATGACGGTTGTTTGATGAAAATGTTCAGTGTTTGGGCTGACTGTTGACCCATTTTTCTGACCATGTGTTGACTCCGGATGGATATTATAAATCTATTTATTATCTGCTGGACTTTTAGATCTTCCAGGTATTTATTTCCACACCACTTTATCGTGACTAATATTCTGATTATGTGGAAACAGATTCTAATGGAAAATGAAAATATAGCTTTACAATTAGTTTTAATAATAATAAAGTAGTAAAATCATGACTTGTGACTTTTCCTTCCAAATTATTAAGTAAGGAATAAGTTGCTTATTATAATATAGGTTTTGAGGTTCTGTCGTAACTGCAAATTTTAGCGTCATGTCAGAAAGTGCAGACTAACTTTCAAGAGAAATGGTAAGTGCAACCTGAAAATGTGGGTTTACGTAACCTGTATTATTTAATTATATTTAATTTCCTAGGTAACGTTTCACTTCGCACAATAAATATCCACTGTACTGTCAGATGTTTATTGTTCTTTAATTTGCTCCCACGCATTTTTATGAAAATAATTACCATATAATACTTCCAGAAGTACACCGTCACCGTACTCCATGCTTCACCTCATTGCACTGGAGCATAAGTCTCAAAAAAGTCGGTAGGCCTTATGTCTTAAGTAAGATTAATTAAAGCATAATTTTATGGGAAAAATACCGCCGCCCCCTTGCCTCCTTGTATACATCCCTGTTTTGTCATTCCCACAGGTAGAGCTTGACATTAGACACAGTTCCAAGAAATTAATGTGGTTGACTGAAAAAGTCAACAAAAGACTAGACCAATTTACGTTCACACAAAAGACAATGCCAACTGACAATGAGATGTAGCTTATCGATTGTAAATGACTTTAGTTAGACACCTAGTCTTAGGACACATTATTGATACGTGACATGTTATAGAAATATCTGTTATATTATTATTATAAAAGGTAATGTACATATTATTGTGTCATCGGAAGCCGGAAATACGGTTAAATATGACGACATATTTATTAATGTCTGGCAGTTTCAGATAGGGTGTTGATCAATCAGTGTTTTTATTAAATATTTTTACATATTGAGAAATTGTTAAATAAGTATGAACTTTTCCTTCTTGTTAGACGGCATTAGTATTGAGTAAATTCATTGTGGAATGATTCTCTACAAAACCTCAAAACCTTGACTTCAAGTCAAGTGGTCTTTAAAATCATCAAGCTTCTTGATGTGATGAATTCCCTAGATTATGACATACATAGACATAGTATCGTATTACTAGTCCCGACAATTCACCAAACTTTCCACTCTTGACCAAAAAAGCTAAAAAAACCGTCTCAAGCCATTAGAGTGTCGCGACGCAAAATTAGGTCCGAAAAAATTCGGACCTAGCTAAGATAATACCCAGTATATCATTTAAAGAGTCAGAATGATATCAAAATTCAAAGTTGCTGAAAAACACAAATGCGGAATCCAGCTAGGTTCAGGGAGACACACTAAACCAAAGCCCGCAAGAGAAACACCGGTAGAAGTTGCCGTCGGTGTGACCGAACGTCTACCCTGGGAATCGAAGTACTTTAATCAGTAACATACCATCTCAGTACCTGCTGCACGATCAAAATTTATATAACTATACTATATGCAAATGACTGTAACCAATATTGTAACATGCTCAAAAGTCAACAAAAAAGCAAAACTATAAAATTTCATACTTGAGTTGCCCGTATAGCTGTCCGACCTATGACGAAGACTCTCAAACGATAAACAGCTCTATACTCTATTTTTAAACTAAGAGGAGCGTTTTGAATATTGCGCGCCAAAATGTTGGTTTCTTATTGGTTAATTTCGAGCCCACTTTACACTGCTAATAAATTTTACATTTTGACATTTGTTGTCATTTTGCCTCTTAGTTATCATCAGTTCGTTGTCATTGTGTTTTTACCTGCTTTTCTTTCTATTTATTATCCCAGTTACGTATAAATCAGTTCTTATCAGAACTAAACAACTTATTATATTGTTTATCATCCGTTTTTTCCAATTTTCCATTGGATATGGATGATGCTGTGCCGACCACGAGTAAGGCAGGCGCGGAAATTACATCGCCGTCGCCCCCAAGGAAACGAAAACAACTCAGTTTGGGGCATTTGTCTCTGGCAGAAAAGCAAGCAATATTGAATTTGTACAAGAAAAGCCTAGATGATGAACCTACTCTTAAAACTGTCCAACTTGTATCCAAAATAGCGATGACATTAGGTAAATTTATGTTAACATTATTCTGTTGAACTATATTACACATTATACTTTTTTAGGTGTTGCAAAATCAACAGTATATCGAGCCATAAAACAGTATAAATCTACTGGAAGGGTGTCTACTTCCAAACACTGTGGTGGAAGACCTGGGATTGTTACATGTTTGGATGAAGCAATGAAGAATTCCATAAGGCGTATAGTACACAGCTTTTTCTTTAAAAATGAGATCCCCACTTTGGACAAAATATTAACCGAAATAAAAAGTCGTCAGGATTTGCCACAGATGTCCCGTTCATCATTATACAAATTTATGAAACAAATTAATTTCAAGTAAGGTTGAAGACATATCTCGGAGCAAGTATAATTGCAATAAAAACATTTTATTTTTTTTTGCAGATACTTAAAACGAAGTCGTAAAAGTGTGTTGATAGAACGTGATG